CGCTTTCGGGGCGTTAGCGGGAGGGGCAGGAGGAATGGGCTTTTCGAGCACATACTCTTTCTCATCCATGCGGAGAACAATGGAGAGATTGCGTTGCCAGTCAACAAAGTTTGTTCCGTTCAATTTATCTTTATCCAGAATGGAACGCAGGGCGAGGTTGTTTGTGTTGTTGTTTGCCATCTACAGAATTTTGCGAAGATAGTTATTATCATGAATTAAGTATCTAATAGGTCTTTATTAAATACTCTCCCACTATTTCTAACAAGTCAATTACCCTCAGGTACGGAACCTATTGACCTGGGGTTTCTATTTGAAGAATACCCTAGCGGGCCAAGATCCATATTTTACTTAACTATAGTTGTGCTTTGCATCTTGCCCTACAGTCAAGTTATTTAGGTAGGAATTCATTCCAATTGCAATCGTTATTACAACTCTTGGTTCGGTGGATTCTTTTAAATAAAATTCTTAATTGGGCAAGATCCATATTTCATTTAACTATAGTTGTGCTTTGCATCTTGCCCTACAGTTAAACTATTTCTGGTAGAATAATGATAAGTTTGTTTCGTTCTTATCATTTACATCATATTCTAAACGTTATTGCACGTAAATAATATTTAATCATATCATAAAATGTGATTTTAATGGATAAAACTCTCATTTTCGTTCTAAGAGTCATAAAATGGGATTCCACATGAAATCATCATAAATCATTCATTTTTGTTCAAGTATTTGAGAAAAAGGGAATAAATCATCAAGGGATCAAGATTCGGGCTTGAACGAGCTTTCGGAAGGTCAAAAACAATGTTCGGGACCAAAACGGAGCGAAATTGGGCCAAAATCACGAAACAGCCGCGAAGCCCAACGGACCAAGGCCTCCAGGCGTCCAACTTGGACGCTTGGCCAAGTTGGACGCTTGAAGTTGGACGCCTGGGCTAGTTTGCAATCCAAGAAAGACACATGGCAAAATCTGGTTGGCCGGAGCAGCTCAAGCGTCCCGATCTGGACGCTTGGACTTGGACGCTTTGACTTGGACGCCTTGGCTTCGTTCCTATAAATACAGCGCGATTCTCCCCATACACACATCACTTTCATCCCTTCTCTCGGGATTTGAGCTTAATATTCCATTTCTAAATATTAGTTTAGCATTTTAGTAGTTTTTGAATAATTTCTTGAGGAATTCTACTCCCGGTCTATTCTGTTCCGCCTTTACGGAAGTTGTAAGTTTACTCTATTTAATAAAATGCTGTTTTAATTCATGTTTGCATAGTATGAGTTAGGGTCCGGATCTCTGGGTCCGGACTAATTTGGTTGTTTATTTTTGATGTGAAATTAATGTTGGAATGGTTAATCTGTTGTTCTTGCCTTATCTGGTTAATTACTCTCGAAAGATTTAATTGGCCATTTATTGAGAAAATATTGTATGCCAAAAGGCTATGATATTCAACTGTCAATGGATTAAGTACAAATCTAGAAATGGATGAGTAGTAATAGAAATATTATTATTCCAATTGTTAATTTAATATGATAAAATAAATTCAAATAACGTCCAGACCCTAGGTCCAGATCTATACTTATACTATGTAAACTTAATTTATTTATTATTTTTACTCTGCCTTTTTTATAGTCGTTCCGAGAAGACTTTCATAAACCAATCCTAATCTTCGCCTAATTAGAGTAATTAAACTAATTCCCTTCATCCACTCCTCGAGAGATACGACACTCGGAGAGAAAACTGACCCTTTGTTGGGAAGGTTTACTACCCGAAAAAACTACAACTGTCAAATGGCGCCGTTGCCGGGGAGTGGCAAGGCATTAGTTTAATTTCTTCTGATTAGCTTGGGTGAAGATTGGTTAGAACGATCTTCTCACTTCCTTTCACCAACCACCCGTAATAATTATTATGGATAACCCTAGTGGTTATTACGGTCCGCCTTCTTTCTACCAATCACCTAACCGCCCTCCGTTTCAAACCCATCCACCTTACCACCCGCATCAGAACCCATACGATGATGACTACCAAGTCAACAATGGGTCTGACTACTATCCCTACCATGAGGAACCACCATATGATACCCCATCTGAAAACTTTGGATATTCTCCGTACCAAGACTTTGATGGGGAAGATCATTATGAACCTCATGGTGATCACGATGACTATGACCGCAATGGGCCTATATACGACGATCAAGCTGATCCGCTCGTCGAAGAAATAACAAGATTAGAAC